TATTGATTCATGATTAATGCTGCTGCTGCTGTAAAATGAAAACACTATCCATCATGTGAGGAGCTGCAGATCTTCTACAGAGCCTGTGTTGATGTAAGTGAACTCTCAGTTTCTTCGTTCAAAGTATTTCTGTGACATCACGGCAATAGACATCAGACAACAACGAGTATAGTGATGATATACTTAGCTGAATTCATATGTAAAAGGTTTACGCTGTATATAACGAGTTGTTGATCCAGTCAGATGATCAGATGTTGAATTGTTTTGTTACTTCCCGAACAGAGCTGAGCTGATATCATCGACCGACCTACTGAGCTTCATGCCAGCAGTGACAGACTGTGGTGAGCAGGTGTGGAAGCAGCTCAGCTAAAATGTAAGTGCTTTATCATTATTTCATTACTGGGAGACTCTTTTACTGTTGCATGTGTTTTACTCAGTATCCGCTGAGGGAAAGAACTTGAGTTTTTTTTTCTTATTTCTACTGTTCTCTATATGTTTGGTTAGAGCAAAGACTGATCACTGCTGACAAGATACTGTCCAGTATTCTAGAGAAATAGTCTATAATTCATCAAACTGCAGACGCAGAGCTTTCAATGAACTTTGTGACTTTCAAGTAAATGAATTTTTCTCTCTTCAGTTCATGACTAAGACATTTTAAAAATGTAATGTATTTATGTTAAAGTGATCTAATGATCATGTGAAATGTCTCAATACATACTCAAGGTTTGAAGTGAAATCAATTCAAAGCCTAAAGAAAAATGCAAATCGAGAACATAATTGTGCTTTTGGCTCAAGTTCCTCTTTAAAATCTGTGGTATTAATCGGCTTTTCCCAGTAAATAACGTCAATAATGTCATAATATTCCTGTTAATGATCCAGGATCTGTTTCCCTTGTTCCAACTTTTGTGAAAATCCTCTCGGTACACACTGGTTTTGTGTCTTAAAGCACAGTTTAAACAAACCTGACTCTTTGACACACAGCTGCTGCATGGTCAAGAAGCCTCACAAGACCCCAGTTTACTGCACAGAGAGAGAGAGAGAGAGAGAGAGAGAGTGATGTGGCCGCCAAGTAATTATCCCCCGCAGCCCCTCTCCTAAATGCTAATGGTATTTACAGGACAGGGAGGGAAGAGAGAGGACACCAGCGGCAGGTGCAGCTGCTGGAGCATGATGCTACACTGAGCCTCCACACCGCACTGCACCGAGGAGCAACAGAGGGGTCATTGTGGCTGTTAAGGTGATGAATAATCAGTCAGACTGGAATCAGATAAATGTCTCAGGGATTTATCTCTTTCATTGGTTTACAGTTTGATGCACCCTGTTGTGTTTAGACCTGGAAAAGCAAGTGTAGATGTCTGCAGATGGTGGAGTGGCACCATGATGGATGTTCAGTAACTAATGTTAGCGCTTGTATTAGGAGTTAAAGGGACAATCCAGCTGATTTTACACTTGCGGTTTAGTTTATTCATCATGAAAAGTACTACTCAAACACTACTCGTATCACTGGTGAACACAGTTGTATAGTGTCTTCTATTTGTTTATCTCAGTTTTGGCTTTATATATCAAATATTTAATGGAAAGCTGAAGTCACAAACTGAAGGTGCGGGGTTTGAAAGAAGGAGCCATTTAAGATGCACGGGTGATTTAATTAAAGAGCCAACTGAGCTGGATAGAAAGTGTAGACTCTAGAGCTTATTTTTAACCATAATAGTACCTAAAATATTTACTTACTTTACTCATTTTCCAAAACTAAAATGATAAAATGCTTCACAATAAAAGCAGTTAAAAAACATTATAGACAACAACAAAAATGACTGTGAATCAAGAATTTTTTTCATAAAATGTCATTTAATTCGGATGATGGCTTTTCAAAATGCACATTCTCCTTTCACTTTAAGGTGGGCTCAGGAAACATCCAGATACTGGTTAGTTGACCTGAGAAACATTACGTGACTGTATGGACATAATAATGTAGAAATAAACTCAGAGGCTTTTTGCATCATAAAGATTCCCATCAGAAATTTTGAAGACACATAAAAATAGTCAGAATAGTTTTCCACAAAACAAGTTCAATTTTCTTGTTAAAAAAATCTCAAAATTCACAATATACCAATGAGTAAAGACTTTTCATTTCAAACATTTAACTGCTGGACACAAGATGTCTCCTAATTTACAGAAAAGTCCTTTGTCCAGCTGCATACAGGAACAAAACTGGTTTTAAAATTGTGGCATCAAAAGTGACACTGATTCGTGCAAAAGTGACACTGATTCGTGCAGGCGTTAAACTCAGATTAAGGGAAACTGCCCCTCAGCAGATGAATGTGAAAACAGTTTTCTAGTGTCACTCTGCATATTCATCATTCTGCAGGGCGAGGGACGAACATCCAAGTGAAGCAACAATGAGCAAAAGACATTTTTGGAATGGAGGGGGCTTTAATAACTAAACTTTCATATATCATTGAAACACTGGCGTTAGATCACCTCCTGTGGTTCAGTGTTTGACTACAGGTTGTTCAGTCTGCTAAACATCCACTGAGGTTCCTTGGCTGCTCAGGTCTAATATGTTAAAACTGTCAGTTCAGCTGCTGACTCCAGAACCATGTGAGAAAAATCTGCATTTGGCTGAGGAGGGATTGGGAATGGAGAGCTGAACAACAGAGTAAATATTTGGCAGTGGAGAGCTCTTGGGAGCTGCAGAGGACCCTCTCTGGCTGAAGCCTGTGGGTGTTAAATAGATTAAGGGGCTGCTGGGTCATTGTGGACAGAGAAAATTCCCGCTCTTTGGACATGACTTCTCTTTGCCTTTGCGTTGTTTTTGCTCTCCAATCGAGTGCTCTCTGTAAACTATCCACTCCAGCAAACCTGCACTACTGTAATCCGCTGGTGTTTGTCAACCACTGGGAGGCCGGTGTGTACACAGACATGATGCTTGAAGGAGGTTTAGTCCCTCTCGGTTTTTGGTGATCCTTAATTTTATCTTAAAAGTTGCTTAAAGTTGTTTGTTTCCCGAGGGAACGTTTGTGCGTAATGTGCGTAAAAGGTTTTTCCTCGGAAGAGATAAAGGCTGATTTCAGAGCATTTCGGGATAATAATACAGGTCACTGACTTCGCTGAGCTCTGAAAATCTAAAAGGAATTTAATACGTCCTGAATCACACATGTAATATTGCTCCGGACTATAGACTTGGCGGCAGTAGACGCAGAGCAGTAGATAGTGTCCCAGATCCTATTCAGCTCCATTCAAAACCATGACAACACGGAACAAGCTCGGATTTATCCTGCAAAGTTAAAGGACATTGTGCCGGGGCGTCAATCAGGCATTATTGCGGGACTGAACAAATGCAAAATCTTGACTGGAACAAATGCTTCCAACGGGTCTCGGACGCGGGGCTACATTTTCCCCTTTTGTTCCCCTCCTCTGGTTGGCATGTATTTGTGTTCCCTCTCGTCCGACCACCCAGGACGACTGGGGAGGCATGTCCACCACCACCACTCTCCTCCCCGGCCTCATGCACCTCGCTGAAGTGGATAAGGGCCGATATCAATATCAAATACGAGAGAGGGAGAGAAAATCACAGCCCCCACATAAGGCTGGATTCATGCTTTGCATTTAATGCGTTTTATATGTCTGGATGGACAAAAAAAAGGAGCCAAGTTCAGCATGTGGGCGTCAGTTTGAGTAGAAGCTGGTCTGCTGTTTTCTACGTGAAGGAATCCATTTTTAGTCGTTTTATTATTAAATAAAAAGAGAAAGACAGAGGAAAATAGCGCATTAGAAACCACAGTGCCCCCTTTAAGTTCTGCGCGAGAAGCATGATTAATTATCGATAATTTATCTTGATTACCAATGAATAAAATCTGGTCAGCAGTGATCAGTCATTGCTTCACTTTGTCAGAAACTGAATACGGCATGTTTAAGTTAGGCATAAAAAGTCTTTATCTAGTCTTTATTACATTTATAAGCCATTTTAGACGTTTAATAAATGGTTTATAACACATTTTAAAGTAGATGTAAGCAGATAGACACATTCGAGTGTTTATTAATGTACAGTTCTTGGATGTTGGATGTTTATATGTGATCTTATGAAGACATATTTCATATTATCACAACAGTGTTTTACTGTGTTGTCGTTGTTTATCTGTCCACCCATAGCTGCTCACAGGAGGAGTTATAGTTGAGAAATACATGAATAAAAACGCAGATGTGCTCAGCCTACATTACAGTGCGTTATTTTAAAGGTTAAAGTTAAGATTTATCATTTTAAAAAATGAAATAAATGTTATTGTAAGATGCAGAAAAGACAAAAAGGAAGATCTTCCTGTTGGAAACTCTCTGTGTTCGACATAAAAAGGTTCCTGGAACAAATGTACACGTTTGAATCCTTCACCGTCCATAAACGTGGACATTTCTCACGCCTGCAATTAATACGCCTCTAATGGACGTATTAGTTAAACCAACTAGCAGGCATCAGGCTAATTGCTCACTTTGTATGCAAATGCTGGACACGTTGTTTGGGCGAGAGGAGGGAGAGAGGAGAAGGGGGGGGGGGTTGATGATGGGACGGGCTCTGTTGTCAGTTGCCACCCAAGACGTGATTCAGCTCCAACAATTACCATTATCTGTTTCCCAGTTTGACGATACGGGACGAATCTGTAATGATGACGAGTGTTTCCTTCGCTCATTGTTGAGGCTCTGAGGTTTTTTTTTTTTATTCTGTGTCTCCACACCTACCGTCATTGGGTGACAGCACTCCAGCCATTCAGGTACTCAGCGGAGGAGGAGGCTTTATAAGAGCGCAGCCTTGTGTTTGCAGCTTATGGAGTGCTGTTTGTGTAAACACTGAGCCCAGTGCACACAGAGCTGGTGTTTGGACAGCGCGTAAAGTGGAGAGGATCCGCAGCCGCCTTTTTTTCTCCTACTTGGACAGACTTTACTTTGAGTGCTTGTTTATTTCTGCGCAAAACAAAACAAAAAAAACGGATTGCACGCAAGGACGCGCGATGGCTGCACCGACCAAGTTCAGTTTTTCCGTCAGGAGCATCCTGGATTTGCCTGAGCAGGATGCGGAGGCAGCGCCGCGGTCCTCCCCTGTCTACTCCTCCTGCTCCTCCAGCTCGCCCTACACCTCCTGGATGATGGACTGCGACCGGAGCCCATGCATGTGTAAGTGCACGTCTGAAGCCGTTACAGGTTGATGATCCTGGATTTGATGCATGTAGTGTCTAAAAACATATTATTTCATCCATCCGCCATAGCATTTATTGATATTTTTATTTCAACCTTCTTTATTTTGAAATTAGGCTTTAATGAGCCTTTATCTAGATAGAAAAGATTATGTTAGCTTTATCATAGATAGATAGATAGATAGATAGATGGCCACCCTGAGGAAAGAGGAATCTAAAATAAATGTTTATTATCACATTATTTCTATAGAAACGTGGACTAACTTGGTGCTTGTTTATTTCTGCAGCTTCCGACGAAGGTAGTCTCGAGGCCTCCCCCGACTCAACCAAGCCGGATGACTCTTCCCTGGACTCGGAGCCCGACAAGAGCAAAAAAAGCAAGAAGCGCCGGGTGTTGTTCTCCAAAGCCCAGACCCTGGAGCTGGAGAGACGCTTCCGCCAGCAGCGCTACCTGTCCGGTCCGGAGAGGGAGCAGCTGGCCCGGCTCCTCAGCCTGACCCCGACCCAGGTGAAGATCTGGTTCCAGAACCACCGCTACAAGATGAAGAGAGGCCGGGCGGACGGAGCGCTGCAGGACGTGGAGATAGCGCAGCCTCCGGTGCTGCGCAGGCTCGTCGTTCCGATCCTGGTGCGCGATGGGAAACCTTTTCACACCTGCTTACTTGACACGGAGAAAGCTGGCTGTCTACCTGTTTCCTCTCAAGCGGTACCCTTCCCCTTGGCCTACCCGTCTCTTCAGCATCCCTCCCCGGTCGCTCTTCCCCCCAGGTACCAGCACTTTCCCACCGCGGCGGCCTCCAGATTCGCCTGGAGAGACTTTTGGAGCGACTCGGTCCACTTTAACTCTTTCAAATGAAGGCCTCATTTCAACGCACAAACTCATTTAGAACTGCATCAAATGTTTTCTGAATGTTGAGCAAATTTTCGAGCAACTTAAACATTTAGATTTTTCACTATAGGCCTATGTAGAACAAAAGGTATTTTGCACATTTTATTTTGATATTTTTGCGTGTTATTTTTTAAATGCTGATTATATTTTCTCATACATGGGCTTACTGGTGTAGCCTGTATTTTTAATTATCCGCTGAGATAATGTATTTGTATGTTTCGAAGCCGTTTAAACATAATATTTGTATAAATAACTTCTTGTTGTTGAAGGGAAATAATGTACAGTAGTCTGCATTAGGCGGTAATAGAAGAGGTAGCAGCAAAGCTATAATTATAGCCTGAATGTCTGAAGGAAAAATAATGTTATTTGTTGTCTTTAAGGAAACTTTCTTTAAAGGTTTTACCTGTTAAACTTTTTTTTATTTGTGAACAAAATTATTAATAAAACCTCTCACATATTTTGTATGATATATTTTACATTGTATGTTCTTTCTTTTTCAAGTTTAGTCCAAATTCTCTTTCTGAAAACTAAACAAATGGATGAAAAAAAAAATCATATTTTATTTTATTTATTTTAGTGTAGTATAACGTTGGTTTTCCTTTAACCTCTTGAATGAGCTCAATTTAGGCTTTGAATCTGTTCAGTGGTTTTAAAACCATAGCTTGTGGTCTGAAATTTATTTAATTAGTAAAATCTAAAATATGTAGCAGGTCATGACTGGGGCCCAGAGGCTTTTCTAATGTTAAAAGAAACTAATTATGCACCCAAAAGCTGAGCAAACATTACTCCTAAAGGGACTGGCTTTGCTTAAGCATAAGAATACCCAGTAAACATTACAGCCTCTCTCCCTATAGCACCCTGTTGTCGTCTGGGCCCATGGGCGGCTTTTCACTTTCATACAATTAACCTTTGTTATTCCCGAGGCTATTAGCTTTATGTGGAAATCTTGGTTTATTTACTGTAAGTGTGAAGAGAATATGATTTTTAATGGTGCGACAGGCTAAATTAAGGTCAGATGACTGACTCTTCAAGCTTTAATCTTAAATATCTCACTTGCTAAGCTAACAGGTGCAGCTGAGGAACAAGAGGCTTTTTATAGTCAGAAGAGGCAAGAAAAAGAAGCTTTTATTGATGTGTTTGACGTATATAACTGTACACAGCGCATTATTTTATTGGCACTGGTGTGCACTCAGGCAGCTTCAAAAAAACGTCCTCAAGAATGAATTACTTCTATAAAGTGTGGAGAAACACTGACTATGGTGTTGATTTTCATATTCTTAGATATCCTGAAATATACCTGACTCGTTTTCAGGTCGTAATGTCGCCTCACTGAAGCGTTTTCAGCGTCGTTAGAATATTTGATAATGAAAAATATGCTCCAGTGTTTAAAATCATGTCAGTATTTCATCAGTGACGAGGGGGGTCTTCTGCTTTCACGCCCCCTATAATGTTGTTTGCTCGTCCTGTGACCCTGCAGCCCATCGTCCCTGTCACCTGGCCCTTTGTCTCCCTCGCTGGGGCCACCTTGTATCACATATGGAGGGGACTGGCCGAACCCCTCAGCTCGCTGCATCTCCCCTTAAACACTCTTTTTGTCTGTGTGTCTCCCTGTGAATGGACCATTGTCCCTCATCCAAAAGGGACCGAGACAAAATCTTTAGTGTTTCAATTCTCGTGATGTTTAATCAGTCCCTGCGACAAATTTATGAGGTTTAACTGCACAATGGTGTTTTAGAGCATCTTGGGGTTTAAGGGTGACAAAGACAGGCTTTTAGAGGTTGCCATTGGTTTTTTAAGTTGGTCAGAAGAATTGTCTGAAAAGGATGGGCCTGTATTAGCCTGCCCATCCTATAGTTTTACTCACTGGCCCCGGGGCCCCTTTTAGGAAAGTTATAAGATCCACGTAAACTGGGCCACAGGGGGAGTTTTGTTAAGTTGTTGCAAATGACATTTAATCCATATTAGACTTTAATGGCCTCCAGACTTAGAAACGCTGATTCTATACTTTTCAAATTTTAGCACAATTTTTGTCATTTATTGGTCATTTTTTTTGCCGTTAGAAATGCATTTCAAACACTAGTTTCCCCAAATGTCGACCTTTGAAATCTTTATTGTTGTGGCTCATATTGGTCCAATTACAGACAGTATGGCTGCCTGAAAACTGGCAGTAGAGGCTACAAGGCTAACAAAATATAACTCTTTATACTTGTCATAGTCCACATTTTTGTCCTCTGGGTTCATTCTGCATCTCTAACCCTTTTAGAGGCAGAAAATGTAATTGTATATTTCATTAGCAAATTAAAGTAGCTCTTCCAAGAGGACTGAGGCAAGTTTAAATGAAATGTATTTATTTGTGCTTATTCGGTATATATAAAGAAATACAGCTGCTTTTAGCTGTCCTGGTTATATGACATACAACACTGATTCGTTTTTTTATTGTTTTATTTTGTGTTGAAGCATAACACAACAAGTGATTTAACATAGACTCATATAACATTCATACAGTGAAACAAGCTTTACATTAATAAAGAGTAATGTCATATAAGTACAGAAGTATTGGGGGTTGGTGTAGAAATTCATGTTTGTATATAGTGCGCGTGTGGTTCGTTAAGACAGGAGGCTAATGAAGAAAAGAAAAAGCAAAGCATGCATGTACAAAAAAAAGAAAAATATATATGTTAGATAAATAAAAGGGAGGAGAAAAGAAAAAGAGAGAAAAAGTGGCTAAATACATTTTTTTTTAAAGTAAAAAAGTTGAACTTGTAGATATTTGTCTTGATAATTAATTTTTTCTTTAACTCTGCCAGTGGTGTCCTGAACATTGGAAAAGCCTAATCCTGTTGAAAGTACTGAAAAGGTATTTTACTACTTGCACACCCCTCATCAAAGTTTGCACATGTCTACAAGTTGTGACCAAACAGGATTTGTCTTTTAATGTTGAATTTTAACGCATTTAAACATTTAGATGTCAGAAGAAGTAAAACTACCTGATATCTCACAAACAGGAGACAAAAATCAGAAAACATAATCCTATTCAGCAGAAATGTATCAGGGAACCCGGGTGGGGGACCTCTGCAGTACGTGAACTGTGTTAGATGCATGTCAGCTTTTAGTGATGTTCTTGATGCCTCACACATCGCAGATAGTAAGATAACAGCTGTGTTTAGCTCCGATTTACAGTTAACATCCTGTTTTGAAACAGGAAATCCCACGAAGGTCTCGTCCAGAAATCTCAGTGTGTAAAAACATGCAAATATTGTATGTTTGTCAAGTTTAACTGCTAAAGAAAAGACGTTTTCTACCGAAAAGTTCATATGTGAACTGAAGTGTTGAAAACCGATTTAACATGAGCACAGAGAAAACCTTCGTCCTTCAGCAGACTGATGTGAAAACAGGCTTCTAGTGTCAGACTCTGCACATGCATCATTGTACACGGTGAAACATTAAACATCCAAGTGAAGTGACAAAAAGGAAATCACATTTTTCAGTGGAGAGGGACTTTAATGAAATTCTTAACATGTAAAACAATAGCAGCATCTACCAGGATGATTTTAGACCTATTTCTGTGACATTTAAAGGCAGATATCTGTTTGTGCCACGGAAGTTAACTGGCATTCAACAGTTAGCTAATGGTTTATCTTACAGTCTTAAAGTTGTCCATTATCTTTTGTCCTTCAGTCTCAACACAGGCTGTGTAATATCACACATTTGAATATACCAAACTGATGCTATAAGACGGCATCTTTTCTGACACATTTAAGATATTCAAAGGTCAAAGGTCAGACCAAAGGTATATCTAATGTAGGGGCTCAATTTGAAAACCACTGGATGGCTCTAATCTACTGTAGGCTACATATAAAAACAACTACGTCTCATTTTTAAAGTAACAGTTCCTAATTGAAGTTGTGTTGTTGTGTATGCTCATGAAATCAGCGTTTTAATAACAACTTTATTTATAAACCATGCAGAGACAAGCTGAGAAAAACAGCTGAAAGTGCAGATGTGAGGCTTTTACTCATCATCTCATTTATGTTTGTGGTCCATTTGAAAGAAAAATGAAATACTGAATTATTAATATTTTCAGTGATGTATACACTTACATAGACATAATAAAAATGCACAATGAAATGACTTTACATGGAAAAAGACTATTATAGTTTGATTTCTTGCATTTTTTCTGATGTATCTGTCTGCTGCTCTTGTCTATTAATAATTATATACTAATACATATTTTCTATGATAATAATTTGAGTAATTATCATTCATTATTTGAACATTTTACATAGACATGCATGCATTTTTAGCTCATGGCAGCTTTCTACCTTGTTAAATGGAGTCAGAGTTTGTGCTTGTGAGGTAGAAACGGTTTAAAAGGAGTTAAAGGCAAAAGTGAATGCAAGAGAAAGTGACCCAAAATGAACCCGGAAGCCAGATGGTTAAACTGTGAATTGCAGTGATGCTGAAAACTTTCCAACCTTCAGCAAATACTGGAGTGTGACAAGGTCTTTGAACGTCTCTGACCCTGCTCTCCACTAGATGGCGGAATAAGCCACAGTATCATTTTGGAAACCATGTCACTCACCTCCTGTGAGGAATGAGACCAAACTGTGGGTGTAGTTCTGAGGATGAAGACAGCCATTAGATCCACTAGGGGGCGCGCTTCGCTGGGAAAACACCATGCTTTACTTCTCTCTGCGTTGCTTTGCGGCTGCTGATTGGACGCAGAAAGATGGCCGCTGCCCTCGGTGACGCGCGGCCGCTTGGATCGACGCCATGCTTCAGTGTTTGCTCAAAGGTCGTGTTTCAGTCACTTACAATATTGCCCTCCTGTTCTGAACATGATGTTTAGTTCACCATGATGGAGAGTCGTGTTAAAAACTGTGCCCTTCAAAAAGCGACTTTTTCTATTGTTTTGTGTCATGGTGATTATTAATTGGAGTAACCTCCTGTAGTTCACTAAAACCTTAGAAATGTAAAGAAAGAAACAAAGAAAGAAAGCCATTAGGTGATGTGTGATGGTGAATCACACCCAGTGTCCAATTTTCTTTCTTTTGTGACCTCCTTCTCAGCTTCAGCTTTTTTTTTCTTTTCCTGCAGCTCATTTCCTGGTGGATCAAGAGCTGTGAGAGTTTTCATGAAAGAAAACGGGGGGGAAAAGTTTTGAGGAGAGAAAAATCCTGAGGAGAGCGGCAGGAGGTAACAGCCTACCCCTGATCTGGACAGATTGTTCCCGTTAGATCAGGCTGCAGACATGCAGGATGTAAATAATAATATTTAAAAGTATTTGTATTAAAGTGGGATTCAAATGTTACATTGTTTTTGGATGCAAAGTAGCTCAAACATCTCTATAATGTGTTGTTTCCTATAGGCTACCATTGGAGATATGCGCGGTGGAGACGAGTTAGATATAGATTAGATATAAACTGATGTTTCTGTGGATAGAGGTTTTTGATATTCATATATCTTTCCTATCCATGTGCATTTATTGATATTTTCAGCCTTCTATCTCAGTCCTCAGTGTCTCTGTAGCGACACCTTTAAGTGAGATGTTTATTTTCATAAGAAAAGTAGAATATATTGATTTTAATGGGAAATAATAACAATAAGCAACTTCTTTTTTTTAAAACTTTTTTTCCCCTTTTTTTTCTTCTTTTCATTGCACTACTTATTTTCCTTTCTGAAGTTGTTCTCTGGATTATATCATGCGTCAATCAGTTCATAAACAACAACGTGGAGCCTCGATAACAAAGGCTCGATAGCCCCATACCCTCCACTTCAAAGTGTCCTCATTATTCTGAGGAATTAGCCGGAACATTTGGACTAATTACTCCTAATTGACCATAATTGCTGTGTGCCAGAACAGGGAAAAGGTACTGATTAAGAATGCCTTGCGAAATTCTGTAATTAAGGAAGGCATAAGCAAGATTTACCTTGGATGCAGACACTGTAATTTTAATTGCCTGCGATTATATGGCCTGTGAATTATACGCCCGCACCTCGGCTATCATCCAAACAATTTATTTAAAGTGTAATATTTAGCCTCGGACTATATGGTAATATTGCTTCATTAAAGATAATTGTGAGGCAATAGGAGGATATGTGTTGCTGGGATGTGCACAGGGCTCTTTAAATTGGACCAGTGCACCTGAAAATAGTGCACAGATGATCCAACGCGCAGGCAGGCGTGAAACATGCAGCCAGTGAAACACAGAAGTGTGGCTGATGATCCCCGTGACGAACTGTCAGTGATCTGCGTGCCACTGCTGTAATGGGACTTGACTACACACACACACACACACACACACACACACACACACACACACACACACACACACACACACACACACACACACACACACGACAGAGAGAGAGACAGAGCCTAGCTCCAGTTTGACAGCTTGTTGTTGAGGCTGCATCATCTTTAATATGAGTTGTTGTTTTGTTTTTTAAAAGATAAGCAATAAAAACGCAAATATCCACGCTTTTATTTTGGAAATGAAACAAAGAACCCGGGTTTAGGGTCAACGAGGGATAAACCAGATCACAGCGTGACAGCTGAGTGTGTCTGCCACCAGAAGACGCTGTGTTTCTTTAATTCCTGTATAAGGAGATATGGGTTCAACCTGCAGGCACAGACTTCTGTCAGGAGCTGGTGGCATCTGCTGCTGCTGCAGGACTCACGTTAGACCTCCCGACCAAAGCTTCACTAAACCAACTTTTAAAATTAATACTCGCTTCATTATTTTTGCAGTAGCCATAGTTTCAGCTCCGGTATGATCCTGACATCCACAGATTGTGTAAGTTAGAAGTTATTGCATTAATTTGAATTTCTTCACTTGTTATTTATGATATTGTAGCCTTGTAATAATTTTGTAACTGAAAATGAGGAGACAGGCTAAATCGATAGCCGAATAATAATTTGTATTAAAGGCTATTGCTTTATACTATTGATATATAATATTGACATGTAAAATAATATGAAATTAAAACCAACTATAAGAGTAGGCTACTGGTGATGCTAGAACTGCAAAAGAATTCACCAATAATAATAATAATTATCAAATAAGTCAATATTTTACACATATTTTCTGAAAAAATCATTGTTTTAATTGCTATTTTTTGGGCTTTTAATAAAGCGCAGGAAAAACAATTATAGCTTTGTGTAATAGAGGACCTTTGCCCCGAGCATCCACAGAGAACTGGGCTGCTTCTTGGCTTCAGAGCTGGTTAGAAAAAAGGCAACAACTCCTCTCTTGTGCTTCTGCGTAAAATGTCAGAAATGAGATGTGATTGAGTTACACTGTTAGGACTCCTTGAGCATTAAGGCAAGATGCTACTGAGGGCTACCTGGCGTTGTGCTGCAGGAGAGTACTTGAACGCCGTTAACTTCGCATGAGCGCCTCTCCTGCTCCAGACTCTATTTTGTTTTTGTTTTTTTGTTTGTTTTTTTTTAACCAGGTCTCTCACAGGAGTGTGTGCATGTGAATTTAGGTAACACGCTGCTTGCGTCCAATGATATCAAAAGAAAAAAAACGAGGGGGGTTAATCATTTACTCAGCCACTTAACACGCGGATGTGTATTTATTTACTTATCAGTATCAGTCAATTTCCCTCCCCGCAAGTGCACTTTTGCATGTCTGAGTACGATAAGGCATAACACAAACAATCCTGCAATCACTGGAGGCCTCTCATGGCCATTAAAAGTCAGTAGTTCAACTGAGGAGTGGTTCTCCAACTCTCAAGTCCATATAGGCCTCCTTTCATCAAGAGGCCCTCGTAAACATCACTACAGTTAATAAAGTGTATTGTGGTCACTGCAAACCCAAGGTGCAGCCGCGTGTTTATCAGCAACAAGTCACACAAACTCCAAACGCAGCAGCAGCAGCAGCAGCAGCAGCATCGGCAGCAGCAGCAGCTCCGGCAGAGAGCCCGGACACCGCCTGCAGCCGCCGGCACCAACATTTCTGACCATATACAGCGCTTATGTTATTGTTAGTGAGAGGGGAGCACATGTCTTGTAAGTGAAATTACGCTCGGCGAAAGGAGGCTAGAGCTGTTTTGTATTGTTGCGGATGCCCCGCCTCTGATGGTAGCCTTAAACCTGGCACCCAGCTAAAACAAACCAAAGCCAGCACAGAGCTCCCACTCAATCCAATTAAGGCGGACTTGAGGCGCTCTCCTACGTGTTCATCTACCAGGATCGACGTTGAGACAACAGGAACCAGAGGGGCTTTGGCCAAAAAAAGAAAAAAAAGAGAAGGAGAGATTGCCTTGCCTTCTAATTTCTCCCTCTCCAGCCCCAGAACAATGTCGATGAGCCCTAAGCATACGACTCCTTTTTCTGTTTCCGATATCTTGAGTCCCCTTGAGGAGAGCTATAAGAAATTAAGTATGGAGAATAACAACTTGGGGGCACCTCTCACTTCTTACCGGCAGCCGCAGGTTTCTCAGGCGGCGATGCAGCAGCACCACATGGGCCATAATGGGACTGTGTCTGCGGCTTACCACATGACTGCGGCAGGTGTCTCTCAGCTGTCACACACGGCCATGGGGGGCTACTGTAACGGCAACCTGGGCAACATGGGCGACCTGCCGTCTTACCAGGACGGCATGAGGGGCAGCGCCACGGCCACCGGCTGGTACGGAGCCAACCCAGACCCGCGCTTCTCCACCAGTGAGTACCCTGCACCTGCACTTGGATTGCAATCCAGGTTTCGGATCCATGCTTAGTGTTCAAGCTGCATTTAGCGCTAACTGTTTCATCATCAACTGTGCATGTGTGTGCGTAAAAGTGGCCGCTCTCCATATCCTTCTAGTCTAGATTTCCTCATCTTTATTATTAAGAAGGAAAAAATAAAGCAAACAAAAAAATGTTCATGCGTTTAATCCACGCGGTCAACATCTGGAAAAGTCTGACCAGAGGAGCAGGAATGACCGTATTCCTCTTCAAGCTTTGCTCGTTTATTGAAAATAGTTTATTAACTTGTGTCGTCTCTTCCATCACATTAATCCAACAATAACATGCTGTCAGCTGTGAACTTTTTCTGCACTTGTTAGTTGACACGATTATTTATGAACGTGGACTTTGACGCGCGCTGTGGGTTTGGGGTTTGTGGATAAGGGCACCTGCTTCTCTGGGAATAATTTTGAGACTTTTCTGCTCAGCTGTTTGTTAAAATGCAGATAATGTTGTGATGCTCTTTTTCTTTTTTTGACCTGCCATGAAAATAATTATCAAGCTTGTAAATACGTGTTTTTATGAAATTATAATCCATACTTTGATCCATCAAAAATGAATCACTCTCCGAACTTAAAACCTATTTTTCTTTGGTGTTTTCCACATAAAGACAGACTTCTTTTTTATCTGTGCAATTAAAATCAGAAAATTTATTGTATTAATGTTCTTTTTTTCCCCCTTAGTCTCTCGCTTCATGGGCTCGTCGTCGGGCATGAACATGGGCAGTATGGGCAGCCTCAGCTCCCTGGCAGATGTGGGTAAAGGCATGGGCTCTCTGTCCAGTACCCCGCGGAGAAAGAGGCGCGTGCTGTTCTCCCAGGCGCAGGTCTACGAGCTGGAGCGACGCTTTAAGCAGCAGAAATACCTGTCGGCCCCGGAGAGAGAACACCTGGCAAGTATGATCCACCTCACCCCGACCCAGGTGAAAATCTGGTTTCAGAACCACCGGTATAAGATGAAGAGGCAGGCCAAAGACAAGGTGTCCCAGCAGCAGATGCAGCAGGACAGCGGCTCCTGCCAGCAGCAGCAGCAGCAGTCCCCGCGGAGGGTGGCCGTGCCGGTGCTGGTGAAGGACGGGAAGCCGTGCCAAGGCACCGGCCACACACCCACATCCTCCGCGCAGACGCACCATCAGCAAGGGGGCAATGTCATGATCATGTCCAACAACACGTCCGGCCTCGGGCAGCATCAGAGTCAGCAGGTGGGAAGCACAGGTCACTCTCCAGATTTGGCGCCGCACTCCTCCAGTCCGCCGTCACTGCAGGGCCAAGTGGCCGGCCTCTCCCACCTCAACTCCCCCGGCTCAGAGTACGGCTCGGCCCTGCAGTGTTCAGCCCTGTTATACGGCAGGACATGGTGACAAGAGGCGCCGGCTTTGATTTAAAACCTGTCAGGACTTCAACAAGTTTCACTGTAAATGTGCGCATTTGAAAAAGAACCGAGTGAAGTCGGTGCAGCTCTTCTTGAATTTTCACCTTCTGGGAGGAAGTGTGACTTGTACGGAAGAAACACTTGTCCAGAAACTGCGGATGTGAAAGTCCTGGGATTTATTTATGTAAATTATATTGAGAGAAAGGAAGAATCAGCACATAGGCCGCGTTAGGTGGGAAAAAGTGAAGCTGAACAGGGAGGCACATAGACCAGAGGACTGCTGAACATGGGTGCTGTTAAATTCCCTTTCACAAACACACACGAGATGACTCTGATTTATAATAGAATTTAATGTAAGCCGTAGATCTAGCTTGTATATTTCTGTAAAAGGTTTGAATTTTAGCTATCTGTTGTACAAAGTTTTTGACGCTATTGCCGGTTTGTTGTCGTTTCATTGGTATTTGTACGTTTTATTTCTTTGTAACTTATATAGATATTTGACTTACTACAAAACAGTCCTATTAATAAATTATGGAAACATGACAGTTAAGCTTTTTATTGTGAAATATGTCAATGCGGTGTTAAACAGCGGAAATAGCTTCTTGGAAAAATCAGCAAATATAAAACAGAGCGTTATTATTATTATTATTATTATTATTACTACTACTACTTTGTTTTCTATAAGATTATTATTCTTTTTTTTAAGGGGGTGATTATTAGCCTATTTTTTTCCATTGTTATTATTATTATTATTATTGTCACTGATTTTTGGGTTGAGTGTGAGAAATTACAGGCTGTAAATATGAATTTTTGAAAAACGATCATCTCAAGAACCAGTTACTCCATGTTGCTAAATAGGTTCAGGTTTGGCAAAGTGACAGAACTAAATACTATATCAACACTCAGACTCTTATTGTGACATGACAGTTAAACACTGGAGCATATTTTTCAGTTTTATTCTCTGACAAATCACACACCTCTCAGTCTTATCGTCAAACGCTGCAGCTCACACAAGCTTGCCCTGCAGAGTAAACTCGGCCTTTATGTGCTTTTTTTCTTTTCCCTTTCTGTGTGTGTGTGTGTGTGTGTGTTCTGTGTGTGTGTGTGTGTGTGTGTGTGTGTGTGTGTGTGTGTGTGTGTGTGTGTGTGTGTGTGTGTGTGTGTGTGTGTGTGTGTGTGTGTGTTCTGTGTGAGTCAGAAAGGTGAGGTCTCTCGGCTCCTAACATCAAACATCAGCGCTGCTCAAAGGGCAGCTTATCGATGAGGTCCCTGACCAAACAGCGCGGTGTTCTTCTCAAATACCTCGCGAGGCGAACTGTCGGCGCTGGGCTATCAGCTGCTTTATCAATAATCAATCAGCGGATTGAAAGGAAACGGCGAAAGGCTGTTTGTGCCCGGCGTCAATAACAAACCAGCACAAGTCTCCACAAACATTTCACAGGCCTCCAGACAGACTGGAGCTCTCAGCTACACGCGCTGTTTGCTACAAAATATGTTTTCAAACGGCCGCAGTGACGAACACACACACACACACACACGCACACACACGCACACACACATACACGACCTGTCATTTATTTTTCTGTAGGTGTACGCTGTGTAAACAAAAGGTATAATAATCATTAGGGACTATTTTCCCGCCGCCTAATAGAGCTATAGGTCTTAAACGGTAAACAATGTGGTTGCTAAGCGACGGAGGTAACGATAGGTGATTTTCTTGTACGGCGGAAATAAGCAGTTTTCAATTCACCGTTGTCACAAGTTCCTACAGCTATAATTTCGAATAGTTTCGGTCTGGATAAGATACAATCCAACCTGAGTGAATTTATATTTATAGAGGCCATTTTTTTTTTTTTTTAGCTTCAGACTTTTGGGATTTAGATATGACTGTCTTAAAAAAAAAACAATGTCATACTTCAAGTGAAGATTTCAAACACATGCTATATTAAAAAAAAAAAACTTCCCTGGATACTTCACCGTCGTCTTAAGATAAATATTATTTCTGTTCATGGTCCTAAACGTATTCCTTATTAATTGATAAACGATGTGGCCTTTCTCGCCCTGCACCTCCTTTTATTTCAAATTTAAAAATGAGAACAAAAACACCTTAATCGTGCTGACCCATTTCCTATTGACCAGTCGAATAGCAAAAATTTATCACAAAAACATGTCAAGCTACAAATCAAAAAGTAGGCTGTAAGGTAGAGCCCATGTTGCCCAAAAGTGAGTGGATTAGTGCTCACACGCAGCCGCATTAACCCTGCAGGCGTGTTTGCACCTGATTCCCTGTTTCCCAGAATAATTCTGTCTTTCACACAGGATCACTGGTTTCGATAGAGGGCTTTACTGCTCATTATCCTCTCTCTGTTTCCTGGCGTTGACATTATTCATGCTGCAAGACCTTGCAAAAAAACAAACAAAAACAAACAAAAAAACAAGCATTTTTAGCCATAACTAGGCTTGCCTATATTATGTTGTAAAATTATATTTGGCCTCCTGCGTTATCTGGTTATCTATCCGTGTGTATGTGTAATATGTGCTCCTCTTCCCGAAGAAACCTTTCAAAGCCCTCAGAGGTTTGGGAAGCTATTATGGCTGTGGCTCGGACTCAGCAGCAGCTTTTGGCTCTTACACTGTAAGTGCAGTGTGCTACTAAGAGCATGTGAGCTGATTTTTTTCTGCAGTGAATAATTTCAGTCACTTATCTTTAAGCATGCAACTTTAAAAATATATATATTTTTTTTGTTCACAAATAATATTTAGGAGATAAGGCTCACTAAATTAGAAAACTGTAACTCCTAGTTTGAGGCCACCAAGCAACCCATCAAAATCCCTTTGGAGACTTTAAAGTGAAATCTTACTATCTTCTATTAAGCTATTTTGCAGGGCTGGTTTTGTTCGGGAGAGAAGTGAGAACTCTGGGATTACATTAACATGTCTTTGGCGCGGTGTGTGGTCTTTGTGTGCTGCTTGTAGCTGTTGAGAATGACTTGTTGGAAGCGTGTGTGCTCTCATCGCTCTCTTTTGTAGAAGCCCACAGTGCAACTCCCAAAGTCCTCCTGGCTTTATGGTGGGCTGGTCTCCATGAACCCCAAGCAATTAGTCCCTAATCTCAAGGTAATCATATTTGAGTTAGTGACTAGCTGGTGAATTTTATTCGCCTGTTTAGCTTCAGTATCACTTCTGGAATAATATTTAGCAGCCAGAACCTCTGTTTTATGCACCAGCAGAATTAATTCACAGTTTACAGAGAATATCAAATATGGGTGCGACTTAAATTTGCGGATGCAATTCCACTAAAGTCCACGAAAACAATTTGGTTTATTATTAACGAATGTTGCAACGTACACTCTGAAAATGTCAGCCCGAACCATTAACCACGATTAAGTCCTGCTTTAATCTTTACATTTGTATTTTTTACAATTTATATTTTTAAATTATAAATTGCGCGTTTGTTTCCGATGAACATTTCTAACATAGGGAGTAAAGATCTATTGCAGTGACATACTCGGGACACTGCAGGTTTTTAATATTTAGATAACAGAAAATATGACTTTCTGCAGTGTTGCTTGTGTCCAATGTTGCACCATTGCCGCAGCACCAATTATGTTCACCAAAATAAAAGCCTCACAGATCATAAACTTTTTAAGACGAAGTAAAAGAGAGTATATGCATTAACAAATCAAATCATATTTAAAGATATTGGTCTCGTTAATTATTGTGTGGCAGATGTAGAAATGGGATTCCTGACATATGTTCCTATTCATGAATATATGAGGATGTGTGACGCATTATCATTTGCGTGCATAAAGTTAGCAGTGGATTTCAGAGTGGCTTTTTATCATTTAAAAAAATGTACAGAGTGTGTGTGTGTGTGTGTGCGTGTGTGTGTGCGCGCGCGCGCGTGTGTGTGTGTTTGTTTGTGTAATTTTAAAGTTTTTTTCCTGTTAAAGATGCAAAAGGATGCATCTGGTGCTGTCCACGGTGCTGAAATAGATACGTAAATAGGAAATCAGCACAAAGACAGGCATTTTTAACTAACTATTTTTCACCATACTATATCTAGAAACTTTGCAGAACTATTTTTCAAAAAGAATAATTATTCATTATAATCGTGTTTACTAAGATAAAACACAGCCTCTCCTCTTTCTTAAGTTCCTAAACATTTCATTGCAGCAGGCCAGAGTATTCATGTGCATTACAAACAGGACAATTACACAGCAACTGCAATCACCCCCCTTTGGTAAATGTTATTGTCAGCTAGCAGCAAAAATCTTTAATTGTCCGACGTTTATCTGGTTCTTCAATCCATTGTGCAAAGAGCGCAAACGAGGGTCATTTGTGAACAGAAATACTTTGCATGCAAAGCGGAGCACAAGATGCTGTAATACTTGACCTTTCAGCATAATTGTTGCAGGCATGAAATGCAGCATTCAGAGCTCGCTGAGTGGAGCCTTTTCTCTCTCCCTCCCTCTGATGAACAAAGCGCATTTTATACATCTTCGGTGTTCATTTGGCTTTGTTTCTTTTTGAAGAAAATTTCTCTGGGACTAGCTGCAATTTATTTTCATTTTAATAATACGACTGAGACGGAAAAGGCTCAAGACTTAAGAATGGACGTCATGCTTATAGCCTAAAAGCCAGAATACTTGTAAATCGATGTGTTTGTCATGACAAATTTTTGGCTAAATGATACTGGACAGCAGGTTTTCAACGTCCTGCTCAAAGACACTTTCAGGAGGACAGAGGCGCCCCTCCCTCCAGACTGGATGTTCTCTCTGAGCACTGCTAATACTTTTTTGTCAAAATTAAAAATGCTTACCAGAAAATAGTGAACCCCCCCAAAACAAACAAAAAAACTTTTTTGTTCATCTACTTATTTAGCCCTGACTTGTGCTTTAGAATCACCCACTTTACTGGATTCAAAGGTTGCAGGAAACACACCTCCAAACCATAGAAATATGGTTGGAAATTATGTTTAAAATTAAA